CGATAAAAGGAAAAACAATTCTACTGCTACCACTTTGAAGTCGTTTACTTAATTCTAATGTAAAACACAGACCGAAACTCCATGGCCGCGCTATCGACCGGGTTTTTTTTCGGAAGGGATGAAGGGGTGAGCTAAAGGAAACCGTTATTAATAAAAACAGCGCCTAGTCACGCGAACGAATAGTAAAATTAAACGTTTTTGTGGGCACAAATTCGTAATATTCATCATTTTTCTACATTGTAGTAAAACGTCGAAACAAAAGCACGCTAGAACGTCGTATAATAATTTATCAAAATGTTGACGGTTAAAATATAACGAAATTGGATAGTTTAATCAGGGTTATGTGTTACGTGCCGCGTATATAATTTGGGTCAACCGGGGAGAAAGCATATTATTCGTGCATGTAAATTTTGGACTGTTTTTAGAGATACATATCTTTAAAAGTAACAGCTATGTTTCTACAGGGTTTTCCATATACATATGAAGGATAATTCCTGCATCAACAAAAACAAATATTTATCTTCGAAACTAAAAGAGAAGTTTGGACTTTGTTTTGGATGTAAGAAGTTTTATTCGTGCATCTAATTTGCTAGGCCCGCTGGACCTTGTAGCCTTGTTTTAAGAGATAAATATCTCCAAAACTAAATGAGATACCTTGACGGACGCTGCGCGAAGGCTTCTGACTTGGTGAACACGCGATAAATGCAAAACCAAATTTGTGGACTTGTTTTAGATACTTTAACAGCGTGTTCGACACATGAAGGCTTATTCATGCTGGACACTTGATAAAAGTTGCTCGAAAAATTGTGGGTTCCTCTCAGAGACCTAAAACATATCTAAAACTAAAAGAGATATTTGGACAGAGTTCAGAATAAGTGAATGCTTATTGATGCAGCGAACCTACTGAACGCTCTACAAACGTTCCACAAAAATTGCGGAATGTTTTTATGTTTGGACGGAGTTTTCGATATATGATACTCAGCTCCTCCTTCCTGGGGTTTATCGAATTGTATAATTTTTAACATACGGCTGTGGTACTGATTATTTCTTTCCAAATTTGAAGTAGCTTGTATATTTTTTGTGTTTTACTTGTATTTTCGAAATGATTAGAGTTTATTTATTTATATTTCACAGGACATTCGACAGACAGTCGCAGCTACCCAATTACAAAATGGCACAATCTAGGCTTCTACTATTTAACAAAATCGGGGTAAGTGAGCAATAAATTTCTTATCTCTACAACGAAAGCAAAGGTTAGATATAAATAAATTATAACGACAAGAAGTTTATTTATGTCTTTTTAAATAATATCTATATCTATGCCGTTTTGAAAAACACAATTATTATGTCTGAACACATCTTATTATACGAAAGTTAGAAAAATAATTCCACCTAAATCGCATCTGATACGGATCAGCGATAAAGCTCAAGCAATTTATACAAAAAGCAACATTTAAACAGTCTCTTCGAAATTCAAGCGATTTCAAATTGTAAAATTTTAGGTTTTCTTCGTAATAATAAGTGTTCACCCATTTTTTACGTTTTTTATTCCAAATATTTGATATTTTTCTGGTTTTAAATTGATTTTTTTGAAATTTCAATACTATATTTTATCTCTATATGAAATTGTTGAAGTTGAGGTAACATTATTTCCATAAGCGATATACAGCGGCGATCACAATTTGTTACCGTTGCCGAAAAATATCGGGTATGAAAAAAAAAGAAAGGTGGTCATGAATAAATCTATGAAAAATATTATTCATTTCTGCTGCGCAAATGCAAATTTTATGAAGATTCGCGCATATTCTAATTATGAGAGCTAATTTTTATCCGCCCTGGATAGGGATATTATTTTCTGAAAATTGATCTGTTCAAAAAGTGTAAAAATTATTAAAAAATTAGAAAGTATCAAATTGATACCCGCAAAAAGTCCAATTTTTGAAAAAACCTTTAAAATCTTCAAATATTTCTAGAATCGCCAGACTCTATTTCTTATGTTTAATACAAACACTGCCAACTTGTGAATTATATAACAAAAATATCACCCGGTTGGCAAAAAAGTGTAAATAAAAATCATAAAATTTAAAAGCCTCTTTAATCTTAAGTTTAAGAATGGCGCTTCGTAGTAAAAATTGATAAGGACCCCTTTTGTAGACAATTTCATGATTTAGTTGGCATATTTTTTTGATAAACCACATTTTCAAAAAAAATCGAAAATTGCGACCTTTGACATTGAATAACTTTTTTCCGCGCATGGGATCGACGTATAAAGTCTCCAAACTAACCAGACTGCGGAATTTCATTTACTTTATTACTATTTTTATGTCCAATTTGACCGGATTATTAGTAAAAAGTAGCCGGTTCGAAACGGTGGAAAAGGTAAGGACAAAAATAACCCAAATAATAAATAAAGCAGGACGTCTGTCTTCTCGAATCAGACAATTCTCATTAGGTCGAAGGGAAAACCGTAAGAAGGGACGAAAGAAAAATTAATAATATATATGACACAAGTTCGCTTCGATGGTTTCCGGGAAATATGTGACGAAATTCGTAACAGCCCTCCCCAACGAGTTTTACTATCGATATTAATGCCTCCCGGCTTGATTGCACAAGTAAACTCTAATCCGTCGACTATGGTTTAATTAACATTTAAAATGCATTATCAATAAATTAAAATTAAACACAATAGACAATGGGGGACTACGAGTGAGTGGTTTCGTTTTTTATTATTTAAGGATGCGAAGTTTGTTGAATAATAAGTTTCATGGCGGGATGTACGGAAAGTCGACGAAAATTAAAATGTGATTAAATAACAGGTGCCGAAGATTGCGGTTCCACAAACTATGCAAGACTGGAAAATAAATTTAAAGACGTCACCCCACCGTGTAATATTTAGATTTTTTGATATTGCAGATATTTTTAAAAACGCGCACTTTCTACAAGTCCCGATCAAAAACAGGTCCAAATATAACTTCAAAATTTCCAATTTTAGATAACTAATTCCTTCAATACACAATAATTCCCTTATTAATACGTCTAATACCCATTAATACGCTCTATTACGATCGAATTTCCTAACACCTACTCATTCCTTTATTAATTCTGGAAGATGAATATTAGATAACTCAATGGACTAAAGTCCGGGGAACGCGCTGACGATAGAACATTTGCCCCAACCTATTAGAGAACATTTATAATTACTTTTTATAAAACTTCTGGATTCCTCCTGCTTCGGTTTTTGTCGAGTCGAACTAGCTAATGTTTTATCAATCAACTCTACAAAAACTGACGCAGGAGGAATCCAGAAGTTTTATAAAATGTATTACAGTAGCCTCTGGAAGTTTCTTTGAAAAATTAAGATTTATTCTTATTAATTTACGAAAAACGGAGACATCTGCAATATTTCCTTTATTATCATTATTATTAATTCAAACATTACTTTCTAATGGTCGTATTTAAATTATGAATTTATTCATTAATGTACAATATTCCAAAAACTACAATTGTCATCCAAAATCAAAAAGAGTATAGGGTATTACAGGACACCCCTTTTTTCTGATAGTATGCTGTTTTTATCTACAAAACAAAAACAAAAGGTTCACATAAAAAATGTGTCATTATCAGCTTTTCGAATCACGCTGTAGATCTATATGAACTTATGGTACTTATATAGTTCGTTATAAACAACCTTACCGTTTGCCAGAAACGTTTGTTACCACAACAATATGATTTTTAAAAGGCAATCAATCATTAGGTTTCTAGCTCTGAGTAAGCCGAAGGATCTTTGAAAACGCGATGCTTTTTGCGTCACGCTCGCCTAATAGATATGTTTCTCACGGTAGCTTACTTCAGATAAGGTGATCTGTTAGTCACACCGGCGATATCAAATCCATATAAAATTCATTGTTCGATCGTTGAAGCTTGAATCATTCATCCACTTACATGGGTTTTCTGCACTCTATGGGTGGTCAAACTTATTAAAAATGCGTGAGATGGTACACAAAAAAGTTGAATAAGCTAACTTTTTTGTTACCGGCCTAGTTTTACAATACCAGATGTATAAAAAGTACTATTCGTACTATGTCCTATGTTTCTCTAATCCCTATTCTAAAATTCTGGGAGTGACCAAGTATGCGGAATGTGTTGTCAATAAGTTTGTCAAACACTTAAATAACGAATTAATAAAGTTCTTCTAAATTAAAATAGATAAGATTCCCAAATGCTTTAAACTGTTAAATAGCCTTTCTACTTAAAAAAAACAATGATTTTATATTTCCTATTCTAAAAATTCTGGGACTGACCAAGTATGCGTAATGTGTCACTTTAATAAGTTCGTCAAACACTTAGGTAACGGATTTGACAGCGACCCGATGTTTTTGATAGATTTTAGCTAGAGAGACGTTTCTCAATTATACTATTTGTGTTATTTCAAAAAAAAAAAAACAAAAAACAATGCTTTCAACTAATAAATAGGCTATAACTGATAAAGTTGTATGTGCGTATAAGAAATTGTTACTTAAAGGATGTTGGTGATGCTAGGTTTATTTCTATTAGGGGTGTCCAGATGTGTTCCACTAGAGTCCCCTACGAAAATTTGTTCCAGGCTGTCTTTTCTATATTTAAGGTCTGCTTGGACCCTAAGTCTCGTTGACGAGTAACCCGGTTCCGGAAGAACATTGTCTTACTTAACTACATATTTCGAATTCGATCAGTCAATATTATAAGCAGCCATGAAGTCAAAGTTCAAATCGTGACTTAATCTAATCAACCTGTGCATCCCGTTAAAGTTTATGGTCATATTATTAGTCTGGTAAAGATTAAAAATAACAAGCCAAAAGACAATTTTCTAGAAACTTTCGTATCAAAAGCTCGTGAGTCAACGCTGTGATTAATACCGCAAGGCAGTACGCCAATCTTACTTCTGTGTTGGTCAACGTAATAAGAAATCTGAGCTCGTTTCGTAAAGTAAATACAAACATTTCGTCGACATCTCGACTCACCTGTCCAAATCACCCCGTAAAATAATCCACAATAAATAAAAAACAAGCAACCACAAAACAGTCAACGGTAACACATAACCACCACCCCAGAAAAGAAGTAAAAAAAAACAACTCGGTTCAGTCAGAATGTCACTTTATTTTCGTGAACGGATTCGTCAATGTCTACATGTCAAACGGCATACGCGTGTTTAGGAGACCGAGAAGCGTAGCAGCGTCGATTCCATCTCATGCGGCGTTTAGTTACGAACTGACTGCCATTGGCAACAGTGGAGCGCGCTTGCTCGATTTCCACCGCCCCCACCCCTTAAGGCCGCGAGCCGCCGTTATAGATATTTCATATATGGGCAATTCAAAGTTTAGCACCCTGAATTTTTCATCAGGTGAGTCGGGATTACGGGGGTTGTCCGATAAGTGACCGGGATGAACCTCTTAGCCATTTTCTTCGCCGGGGGGATGATATAGGGCTATACGATCGACCGGGATTCTCAACAGATGCGGATTTGGAGTGAGCAATCTGAAAAATAATTATCTCAGGAACTCAAAGTTCTCACAATCTCACATCAATATCCTTGTTATATAAAAGACCAGATCAGATTTCGTAAAGCAAATGCAAATTTTAGCAAAAGTTTTAAGAATCTGCTTTCAATTAGTAGGGACTCAGACATGTCGAAGTGGCAATCAACGTATTTGTCATTACGCTATGGAAATCAATATGAAGAGCAGTGTGAAAGTTTATATTGACAGAGTTTAATGAAAATAGTTGCTTAACTGTGCACTACGAAATTATGCCTATAAATATATTTGTTAGCTGGAATATATTTGTAATTAAATTATATATTGTTTGTCACTCCTAACTGTTCTAGTGGATCATACAGGTTGAGTCAACTGTAGAGTAAAGTTCATTATCTTATTGGCTTCAAAACTAATTTAAAACTGTTTTAAAATATACAGTGTGGCTCAAAAAAGCGTTACGAATAAAATACACACTTTTTTAAATATTGTTTAGAATTCGATTTGAAATTCCTCTACTTTTTTGTTAATAATTATTATTATCTAAACCTAATAGCTAATGAATCCACCTCCACCGATCGATTTCTGTGTGTAATGATTATTTAAAAGTTCAAGCATTCAAAACAAAATTTAATAACAGGTTGCTCTATTTAAAAAATATATGTTTAATGCGTCATGTTTTTTTGAGCCATCCTGAATAATTTAAAATATTTTTTTCTACTCCCGCCTGTAAAATATCTAATTACGCACCAATCTGGCGTGCAGGAAGCGTCACTTTACCACGTCAGTTTCGTTTCCCACGAATCCGAGGCACTTCGGACATTTCCGGGATTTTACCGCACGAGTTTGCCAGCAATCGGATGTTTTCGGAGATATTTCCCACGCTTTGAATTTTGACGTTTGTCAATTATGACGACCATGTCAGTGAATGTATTGTATGTACCCAAAAACTAACGGTCGTAGAAAAAGTATAGTATGCAACACGCTGCGCTCCGCTCGTGTCAAATAAACTCGCGAGTAAAATGCCGTTTACCGCACTTGTTGCATAATATACTATTAATCTATGCATCCTAGCAATCTTCACAACTTTATCGTTGACTCATCCTGTAAATATTTTTGGTTAGTTTTATCCTTTCGACTACTTTTACTTAGAAATATAATAATACATATTTAAGATACCCTTTTCCTTACAATTTTAAAAGAAAATGGAGATTCCAAGTAAATGTAAATTATAAATAAAAAATGAACGTATTCTTTATAGCTAAAGAGAATTTCTAGACCCATTTCTCATATTTCAGTAATTATCATTTCTGAAACCTATTTCTTTGTTACCATCTTTGTTGGCAAATTAAAACAGTAATAAATAGAGAATTTTTGTAAGAAAATTGCAGCAAATTAAGTAAGACAATACTATTTCATGAATAAAGACATTCTGGCAAAAAATAATTATGCGATGGCCGGGAATCGAACCCGGATCAACTGCTTGGAAGGCAACTATGCTGACCATTACACCACCATCGCACATATCATTAATATTATCTAAGACGTTGTAATCGAACAATATTAATTTTTACATTTAAAAAAGCATGTTCTGGGTTACATTTAGTGCAGTTGTGTTTATTTATTTGTCCAACGCGAAATGCATACCTGTGTGAAGTTATATTTGACTTTTAATTACCATAACGCCCTTAATTGGACACAGCGGTGCAGAAAGCGTCCATAGATCAATTTTTCGAGCGTTCAGTCTTCTCGCATGATCGATTCTCAACTCTTTCGGTCGTGCATGACCAAGTTCGCTGACAATTTTTTTCGTTTAAACGCTTTGACAGACCTTTCAGGCCAGTCATCTCTTTACAATATCAAAATATATCGTACGTGTTTGTAATATAAAATGTGTTTGTTGGTTTTCGTTTGTCGTTTTATAACGATATCCGTGTATTAAAACAAAAGCGATAAAGGAAATAATAAAAGTGTTTTTAGTGTTTCTTATAATATATTTCCAAATTTGATTATAATATATTATAATTTTTTTATGGAGTTTTTCCATAAGGCTAGTAGATATATAGAGGTCCGACCTATATTGATATTACAGGAACTTTTGACACATGTGACAAATATTGAAGATATAAATAAGTTTTTAATTTTTCTTGTTCTTTTCTTGAGTTAGAAGATAATCTTCTATCTGTTGGTAAGAAAAGGAAATAAAATTTTACACCTGCTACAAAATACCCCCCTATACAAATATTGACTGTTTAATTTATTTGTATATTATCTGAGATTCAAAACTGGTTAAATACGCTTTCCAAATACTAACCAAATGTTATTCTGACCGTATAAATAGTCTGCACTACAATATATTTTCATATGCCGGACAAATACGCTGAATATACGCCATGATAATTGGGTATTTTACTGAATAATCTGTGTTAATCAATTATTTCAAATTATATGGAAGGCGTAGTTTACGCCATAACGGTTATTTTATTAACATGCCCCCGAATATCACATGTATACCGGCGACGCATACCATTGTTAGTAAATGCACGTACATAATGAGATAGATAAATTGTCTTAACCTTACGCTGTCTTCAATTTCATATAAATGACCCGAAAAACTCTGTGAGAACAAAGGAAAAAATCCGTATGCATCCTAAGCTGCCGGCGGCAATCTATATATGAAAACTTTCTAATTGGAGGGGCGTTCACCATCTTTCAACTGTTTTCCTAACGCTATTTATAATAAAATTTGATACTTGGCCCACATGTTCGGAAGCAAGTCAGCGCCTCGGCGACTTTTAACATAAACATCGCCATGTTTCGTATTTCTTTCGCGTTCAAAAAAGCGCAATAGTTATTTATAATGATCGAACGGTCAGACTTTTGCGACTTCTGCTGTCAAGTAACGCTCTTACGCGTCACTTGCCTTATTCTTGCCACGGCTCTTAAAAGCTCTTAAATCGTACACCATATATCCCCCTGCTTACATCTTTTGGATTAACCAAATACACCATTGAACGTTTCCATCAGTGCGGATTAGGACTTATAAATATTCACTCGCGTTGTAGTTGTGCCGTTATACCGTTCCTTCCTTTAATAAAAAAAATGGTTTCCATGGTATCATCAGCTTCAATTCTTTTCAATTCCATTTATTCTCTTTTCTAGTTACAAAAATGAACTTAGTAAAAAGTTCTTCAATGAAATGGTTGCCTAATAAACCATATTTGGAAATGGGATTCTATATATTAATTACAATAATATAACAAAATTACAATTTAAGCAACATAAATGTAATATTGAAATCTTTCGGCAAATCTACTTAATGCGCCTAGCGTATATTATATACAATCCCGTTTCAAATGAATGTTCCAAATAAATACCCAATACCTTCATTGGTGTTAAAACCGTCTGCCAACTGACTATCCTTCCTCCTACCTATTGGTCTGAACCGACTGCTATTTTTTATGGTTTCTGTATAGGTAATTTTTTATCACATAGTTGCATTTTTGTATTAATTAAATACCAATCTGATTTAGCAGCTGCCGCTGTTCTTGCGAATCCATTTCTAGCTTGGTGATACCATCGCTCCATCTACAATCAAACAATCAAAACATTTTTTAATGATTTTTTTTTATTTCAAGTTTTATTTTTGTATGCTTAGTATTATGGGTTGTAAAGATATTTCAAGAAAGAGTTTTCATTCCTTTTCATATTCTATTCAGTCTTGCAGATATTCTAAGTGTCTTACGGTGCTTTCAAACGAGTAAATTGATTTTTTTTAAACGTTGCTGTTATTTACTAACGACTTGCTGTTTACAATAGCCGTCTCCGCCCTTAACGCTGGGTGTTTCTTGCGTCAGGAACATACATCAGGCAAAAATTGCACTCTTGTACATAATATTAATCTTTTTTGAAGATGTATTCCACATCCAGAGTTGTTTACCTGCCAGAACATGCACCTTGCGTTAACACAACAGCCGACGATAGCATCCATTTGCAAAGGGCTGAAGAATAATGACAGGCATATTGTTTCCAACGATAAGAAGTGTGGTTTGCTTAGGACTATACCGAGTGATTGATGGTTGCGGCGTTTCGGGGAAATGTAGGCGAGGGGTACGCGCTTAATTTAGGGTGGGGGACGATATTCGGCCCCGGGTTAGAATAAATCAACGTTGTTTTATCATTTTTGAGTTTTCCATAAGATAATGTAGAATGTAGAGGTGGCACATGTGACAACGTGAAATTTAAAATTTAACCGTTTGCTAGGTACGTTCAACAACACCAGGACTTACTGTTATTTCATAAGTTTGTTGTATTTTAAACAGTTCATGGCAGCACCAAAGCCTAATGACAACCTCAAGGGCGGTTAGTTTATTAAATGGCAGCAAATGGCACAAAAAATTAAATTAAAGAAAGATCGACATTACTCGAAAATTCACAAAATAAGTATAACTGCGTGCAATGGGGAAATAGTTACTAAACACTAACCAAAAGTTATGGATTTATGGAAACCATCTTTGCTAAGTAACGTAAATTAACTCAAGAGTTCTTGAAGTCATGAAAAGTAATTTAGAAGGGAATTTTCACTATATTCTCGGCAAGGTTTTAAAATTGTTTCCATCAACCTTTTTTTTTTGTGAAATATCTGTTTTTGACGCAATGTGAAGTGACAGCATAAAAATAATTAACTTTTTGTCACCGTACATTCGAAAATGTCCCGTCGAACGTCACTGGATTTAAATGTATACCATATTCGGAGTGTCATTAATCACTCCCTTTGGGTCCAAATAATATGTCAAGTTTTGATTAAAATGGATAAAATTGTAAACCAATATCCTCAGGATAGTTTTTTGGGATATGGTTAGGATTGCGTGTTGGGATCAATGTTTGCTTAAAGGTTGTAGACAACGATTCAGTAGAGATACTAAGAGATTGTCTAATTTCTATTGGCTTTATTTCTTGTTTATACAACGTTTTGGGCAGAATTATTATCAACCGTTATCAAGTGCAAACTTGTTATATTCCTTATTCTTGATGGAGCCGGGTGCAGTCAAGCGTGATATTATTCCGCTGTGTTAAGGGTTGTCAAATTCCACGCTTGAAGTGCTCAAGTTTTTTCCATTGTTTTTAATGAATACGACATCCTTAAACTTGCTCTTTTTTCAATGCGGATCTTTGTCAACAATCCGACCTTCGGACTATTTGATGTTGTGCTGTTTGGTCCATATATGTTTCGCCATTCATGACCTTTGGATTCACCCCTCGATGTGAATTTACTATGTTCCTAAATTCTGAAGTTTATAGGTCTTTTTGTTTGTCCGATTTACAGGATATTTGGTTCCTCTTGACTGGATGTTACTGACTTGAATACAGTCTTAACTTTTTATTGCTTTGTCATTCGACTGATCTTTCTGAGATTACCTTCACGTATGGGATCGTCAAGAGAGAGAGGATCTACCTGACATCGTTCTGGTTTTACATTTTGATAACGTTTTGTCAATACATTTTTGTTACACATACATTTTAAGTAAAATGGAGAATTATGAAAATGCAGTATTGGAACCAACAATATTCTATATAATTTTGCTTATTTTTCTATCGTTATAACCATTCAGTCTCCTCTGTGTCAACGATGTCAAAATCAGTTGTTCAGGCTAGGATTGGTTGTTAAAAATGTTTCAAGCTGAAGTGAGTCAAGCAGTTTTGAAGTTAGCTGAGCTGCATAGGTGCGTGGCTTTTAAAAGAAGCTGCAGATTTAAGTAAATGGACTACCAAATGTTATTTAGTTCTTAAATCTGTTTGAAACAGGTTGTGAGTCAGTTTATTCATGAATTTATGATGTTGCTAGCATATCAGTTATTTAAGTAAATATGCCGTTAGTACTTGCAAAGTTTTGCACAGCTAATGCTTTAAATTTAATTGAACCAAAATATTTTTTTTTGGTAATGATGATTATGTCAAGAAATGTTAACTTAGCATATTTACAATTCCTAGGAAAGGTACATTAAATCAGTACCTACTAATCTTTGAAATATCTCAACATCTTTTTACTAAAAGCATTCACGACTGTTATTGGCGCTGGATGGCAATTGGATTTCTTTCGTTAAAATCCAACCTTCTCCGACCATTATGTAAAATTTTATATGTAAACTAGTAGAAAAGTATGTCCAATTAACAGGTAACCAATTCAGTCTCCTCAACGTATGCTTTACAACTGTAAATTTTTGGGGATTCATTTTAATGCGGAAGTAAATTTAAGGCCTAACTCGAAGTATCCGTTGCAATTTATATTTGAACCGATTACCATACATTTACTTTTCTTCTGTGTCAGTTTTGATCTATTTTGAACCAGTCCTTGTTCGTTTTGTCCGTAAGTACACAGTAATCTTTCCCAGCAACACACATCAGCCTACGTTAAGCGAACTGACTTACAAATGGATTCTCCATTACCTTGCACATAATCTCCTTCTTCTTCTTCTTCTCCTCTCCCTTCCTTCCCTTTAGGACTATTCATTTGCTCTCCACGTTATTAGATAATTTACGATCATCAGACATGACAATGACATTTTTTTAAACATCCTCCATGAATGAAACGAAAAACGAGCCTCTAGCCAAAGCTGCGGCGGTACTAAAGATCCCCGCAATATCACGCACTTAATTAAACATTTCGGCGGATCACAAAAACGCTTCGTAAAATATAACGTGCGTAGGAAACCATCAATTTAGCCACTTTAATGTAAATCCGTCCTATTCCGAAGTATAGAGTGGGCTTTTCAAAAGTGAAACGGTGTAATGACTATAATTACGGGCCCCTTAAGGTAGTGCCGAAAATTATATAGCGCTAAGTCAAAGTCAAAGTGAATGGGTATTCACGTGAAACGGTTCGAACCGCATCGCAAGTTTTGCCGACGTCGCGGTTGACAATGGGGAGCTTTAATTGCGAATTTGAGCGTAACAAATGTTCTCGTTATTGACCGGACCTCAAAAGAAAATGTCACGTTTTTAATTTTTGTAGTTCCGCGTTGTTAAGTTGCGTGATCTACGTGATCTTTCAAGACCGGAAAGAATCGATCGATAATTGTTTTAGCACTTAAGGTATATGTTGATTCTACTACACTTTTCTTTTCTTTTCTTAAAAGTTTACCGCTGTCTATTTTGTCCAGTACTTCAGCTAGTGCCACCTTTTAATTGGCCATTTAATATAAAACCGAGATATTTATTTACAACTACTCAAACTAACCAAAACATATACAGAATGTTGATAATTTTAGCATCAAAAGCACAACTAACCGTACCGAATAAAAAACGACTCCTTGGTCAAGTTTATTAGATTAATAGAAAAATGTGCATTTTGTAAATACTGGCTCATATCGATTTAAAAATTGCTTTAACTGATTGACTGAATATTTAATTTAATTGCAAGTCCTGCTGGAAGCCTAAAACGAAGGGGAAAAATATTCTTTAAAAAATGTGTAGCTAAAAAAAGGAAAATATAGGACCTACAATAAAAATTTTTCCGGAAAATCCAAATGACAATGCAAAGAAATAAAAACTAAATTTTATTAAAAAAAAAAAAACAACCCAAAATTGGTGATGTTGAGGAGCAGAAAGGAAAGCAAGAAGAGGGATATGGGATGGGGAGGAAAAACACTCCTGTGTTATTTTTTGTGTTTTTGTTTTTGTTTTCGCCAATTATCCTCTTTGCTTCTTCTGAGCTTCACTGAAACTGGCTCGCATTTTACTCTGTACCTGCTTTTATATTGTTTGAGGGGCGCAGCTAAATGAGGGGATTAATACCGTCTCGGATGACTGATTCCCATATTGGTGACAGGTAAAGACCTGTGTCGTGATTAGGTTGCTTATATATTTCTATAGATTCTCGGTTTTTTCGTTGGTAGAAGAATTGATTGTTTTATCGAATAAAATTTGTTGTCCGGTTTCGTGATTGTGTTCGGTAACTGCTGATGAGTGGTTGATATTTTACGTCCGGTCTCTCCAATATATTCTTTGCCGCATATTCATGGAATGCTGTAAACTCTTGGCATCCCGTTATATTTCTTTAGAACTTTTGATACGGAAAAACGAAAAATCAGTTCTTTCAAAAGGTTCCAACTTCGTCCTTGCCCCACGTATTATTCCAAAAGAGGAAATCATATCAAATATCGAGTCTAACCTAAACAAACTTCCATCTCAAACGGCTAACAAAATTCGATTTGAAACAGCAAAAATGTTTAAAAAATCGATACATCCTAAATCTAATATTGCAAAGTCTGAACTCATTGCCCTAAAATCTCTATAATCTAATCCCGACATTGTAATCCTAAAAGCAGATAAAGGAAATTCTATGGTGGTCATGAACACAAATGAATATCAGGAAAACGCAACCTTAAATCTGTGATTAAGGCCTCTTTTTTATCAGACTCCGTGAAAATATCTGTCTCTAAAATTCCTCGTCTCTACAGACTCCCAAAGATTGACAAACCAGGATTACCCCTTCGACGTATTGTCAGCACCCCCACATATTATCTAGCAAAATATCTGGCTTCCTCATTAAAACCCTTCACAGGGAAAACTAATAGATTCGTACTTAATTCCTGTCACTTCATTGAATAATTAAAAGCATTACATTAAATACAGAAGCTATTCTGGTTAGTTTTGACGTAGAATCCCTCTTTACCAACGTTCCTATTCCTGAAATCCTCACCATCATTTCAGATATATTAAAATCCGATCATCTGGAACCAAACCCTCTCACCTTAATTGAATAATGCTTATCTGGAAGATATTTTTCTTTTTCTTATAAAGGTAAAATTTTTGAACAAACGTCGGGAACAGCTATGTATGCTAATATATTCATGGAATCCTTTGAAAAGAAAGCTCTCAACACCTTCCATTTAAAACCAAAATTATGGAAACTTTTGTTATTTTGCCTCATGGCCAAGAGTGCCTAGTATATTTTCTTAGACATTTATACTCTATATACCCTAAGATACGTTTCACCATTCAATTAGAAACTAATAACAACGTTCCATTCTTAGATATTCTTATCAATAGAAAATCAGACCTAACATCTACGCACACAGACCGATACCCTAATGCATTGTCACATCACCAACCACCCAAAAATCATCGGTTATCAACTCTCTTGTTTACAGAGCCGTAAACTATCTCAGCCCGAGTCTCTGAACCCAGAATTAATACACCTTACCTTTGCTCTTCTTCACCACAACCTTCCAATAGCAACGAAGCCGAAAGCAATCCCACACTTGCCACTGTTGCCTTTATATTCAAAACATCGCTGATCACATATCAAAAGTTGTAAAGAAACATAACGTCAAAACCAGATTTATCACTTGTCAAAATATCTCTAAACATCTTGGATCCGTCAAAGACAAAATTCTATTTGAAATGCCAGGAGTTTACAGCATTCCATGTATATGAAGCAAAGAATAAATTGGAGAAACTGGAAGTAAAATATCAACTAGGCTCAAAAAACATGAAACAGCCTTAAGACTAAAACAAATAAACTCAATTCTTCTACCAATGAAAAAAGCGAGATTCTATAGAAATCTAAGCAGCCTAACAATCTTAATCGCGACTCGGGTATTTACCCGTCACCAATATGGGACAATGTACAAAACTCAAGATAAAAATATTTTTTTGCCAATATGGCTCTTACATTATTAGCTTAAAATGTGAAATATTTGACTTACAGTGAACAACTATGTGCTTATGCCACAAAGAAGACGACAGTTCTCAAAATGAATGGCGACAAAAGCTTTTCCCCAGAACGTCCAAATAAAAGTATAAGTCAATAACATAAAAATGAAGTTCTATTAAAAAAAAAACATGTCCAGTTTTCAAAAACAGAATAGGAACGCGAAGTGATTTTGAATTGTCGATGATACTTGGACATCGAGAGGTAAACCGCAGAGGAGAGCCCGTATCATCTGCTCACCGAGTGCCCAGCCTTGACATGGGCAAGATTGGGAGTCTTCGGAACGGCCCTGATCGATCCGGACTGAGTGCACGGTATTGGGCTAAAGGAGTTGCTGACCTTCTACAGGAGGGGCGGCATTCTGGACGCCCTCTAGAGCGGCCTGGGGGCATAACGGGCCCATCTGGTGGCCTAAGTGCTTGGACGCCCGCGAGGGCGCCCCCTTTAATACCAATACCAATACCAATACCAAACCGCAGAGAGAAGACTATACACCATAATTACTATTGCATATATAGTCCCTGAAACTTCTTTACAATTTCTTGAAAAATAACACCTGTCATTTGGATGTCCCTTTAAAGGATTCTCTTCTCGATTAAGAAAACTGTGAGGGAACAAGCAGATGTCATACGAATCTTAAAATTTGCAAGGCTCATAGGAATATGATCAAACTTATGAATATTATGACAGAATCTGAGATCCTTTCTTCCTTTGTTGTACTCTTTGTCAATAGAGAACATGAAGGTTGTAGAACAACTTTTAGATTGATGAGACTTTTAAGTAAATTTGAACTGGCAATTATTTTCGAATTATTTTTGCTAAAACGATAAAGTTGCTTCTTGTTTTCGTGGGCTAAAAGGGCATGTTTACTAAAAATATCTGTAGTTGTTTCTACATTTTTGAGTAATTCCAAGTATAAATAGAAATAAACATTGCCCCCGAAATACTACCTTGCGCCACTCTGTGGTGGAAGTATATTAATTATACTGATTAAAAAATCATATTTATTTGCAACAAATTTACAAACAGAAAAAACGTTAGCCGTGTAACTGGACCCATGATGTTTCGCTCTGCTTTCACCAAGAGGGCTATTTAAAAGCGACAACTCTATAGTGGTAGCGAGTCGAGACCCCCGCGAAATCGGACAACGACAAACGACGAAACACACCGCTCGATTTTTTGGTACGCCGACCGGTAGGGGGCGCCCTAGTTGGAAAAACGATTAAGTCCTAATGGATCGGCTTTAATAACGAACCAGACATTTGAAGTTCGAAACAAGAAGCTCTCGGTTCGCCGCTCATTAGAGCCATTAGTTCCGCGTCTAATAATACCTGAGCTCGAAGGGGTCTTTATTGCTCGATTCGTCATTTTGACATCAATCAGGGATGCAAGATAAACACTCGCGGATACCGGTAAGACGGAGAGGGGGAAATGTTTTAATAACATGAATTAATATTGGTCTTGGGTAATAATTGGCTGTTATGGGGGGTCTTTTAATCGACGCAGAAAATACTTTTTTACCCTAAATAGAAGTTATTCGTATGTCGTTTTTAATTTTTGAAAAGATATTTGGTGAGGCACCCCTTGTACCTCATATTCCTCAGCTCATAACTTCTCTGGTTGACATGGGCAATGATGCTAGCATATCCAACTGACCAAATATGTATTAGCAACAAGTGTCAATAGAAGAAGAAAACAAAAACACCATCCTAAAGAAAGTAAAAGATTTGGAAAGAGATGCCTTAAGCGTCCACATTATATTATCACATCGCCGGGACTTTCAATGAAAAATATTTTAGAGGGAAATTATATCGCACAAAGTACTTGGAAGAATAGATAATGAAATGAAATTCAAGAATTTAAAATGTCAATTATTATAGTGCACAAATGAGGGAAAGCATGAA